TCTGTTTGAACTCCAGGCCATTTCAGGTGCCCTGATGTGATATAGGCAGAGGTGCCTTCATAACCAGAAATTAAGGAGAAGGACAATTTTCTCACCTTCTGCCTCGATGGGTGGGTGCCTCTGTTGATGTCAGAACGGGAAACCTGTGTCTGTCAGGAGCTCACACAGAGTTCTGTGGCTGACTAGAAGTCGTGACGTGGCCATCATCCGTTCACTTTTCCCTGCACTCATCTGTACAGAGAAAGGGAGATGGCAGCAGTTTCCCATCTCGACAGGGGACCGGTCCAAATTGGACCCAATCCAACTGCCCACACTGAAGACACATGATACTCCAGAGTTTCCATCAAACTCCTAAGCACAACTGAACTTTGCTTGGTTTTACCCAGGATAACCCTTGAAACTCACAGGAAATACTGGGACATTTTGGGGATAGTCAATTCAGGGTGAGTCTGAGTTTTCATGCACATATAGACTGGCCCTAATGTTGAAAAATGTGTGAGGGGTTAATGACTGCATGTTCTGCTGTCCTTTCAGAAAAGCAATTACGGTAAATTTTATTTCAATCCACAATTTCTAGCATTCCAGAAATGTAAAACATTAAGTTTTGACACAGTGTAGGCATCCAAAGAAAAGGTGTCAGGCAAATTTGGTATATGAACATACCAAATATAACAGTTCGAAGTATGAACAATTCTCAACGGACATGTCTACACTGACCTATTATATCGATCAGCTCTATGACAGCTGCACAATGCAATTCAGGTTAGCTGGGCAAAGACTGATGCTTTACATATGATATTTTTGGCACCCAAGTTAAACAGTCAGTAGGGTAATAAAATGCAGCCTTGCATTTTATTTTGTCAATTGGAAACCATTTCTTTTCTCTATATTCTGTCCTAAGAGTAGCTTCTTCTTGTGAGTATAGTTATGTAGCAAGACAATCAAGATCCTAGGGTATCAAAAACTTTTAAACAATTTAAATGTATTTGCTCCCAAATGAGACATAAGCTGAAATGTGATGATGGTTTCTGTAGATGGATGGCATGATAGCAAATATGGAATCTGTTTACATAAGAGTTGGTAAAAATTGAAATTACATCACAGTGTGATTTAATTGTATAAATTACAATAAAAATTTGACGTTTCATTCCATTAAATAATTGCTGTCCCCATAAGATTTTGGTTTTGAATTTACTTACTCCTGCCAAAGCTGTTGTGTAACAATTAAAAGGAAATTTAAGACCAGACTTTCAAAGTGAAACAAGTACTAAATATCCATCATTAGACGTCTCTGGGAATTAAGATTCAATTAGTCCACAAGAATGTGGATTTAGGAACCAGTTTTCTTTTTGAATTTTTCCTAAGTGCTTGCACTTTAGCTTTTTATCTTTCAAAGATTAGAAGAATATCATTTCATGTTGGAGTATTCTCTGGGGGCCCTTCCCCACAGCCATATAACACAGACTGGAATCATACTCTGAAATGGATGACAAGAAAGAAACTCCTGACTTGAGAAACAAGTACTGTATATGCTCATATATAAGTCTAGAAGTTAGGGCCCTTCTACACAGCCATATAACTCAGAATATAAAGGCAGATAATCTACAATATCAGCTTTAAACTGGGTTATCCGAGTCCACACTGCCAGTTCAAAGCAGATAGTGTGGTATTTTATACAGCTGTGTGGGAGGGGCCTCAGTCAAAATTTAATCCAGAAAACCTGGAATAGTTCACCCATGGATCAATATAAGATTACCTTGTCTCTTTCCAAATAAGGAACCACTCCCCTTTCAGACTAGAGTGACAAAATGCAAAAGTTTTGTCCATCCCATGAAAACCTGAAAAGCACTGAATTCTTTCCCCCCCCCCTCTCCCCCCAAATCTCTGTTATGGTGTTGCATCTAACTTTTTTGTTAGAAGCAGTGCCATCGCAGATATAAAAGTTGGAAGCAATACCATAGCTTTCCGTATTGCTATTGAGAAGGCACACATTCATGGGTATAATGCATGGAGATGGCATCAGATGTGGGCATGCTATTTCTGCAGCTCACTTCAGGGCTGAATCTACCAGCAGCCAGAATGAGGACATTGTGCCCCCCAATAAGAATCGTGTCTATAACAGATAGAGGGAGACAATGAAAATCATCCACGCTTAAAACGTTTGTATTTGCTGTGTTCACATTTCTCTGATAACTTTAGTTGGCAATTCCTTTTATGCCTAAACTGTATTTCTAAACGTTCAACTGAAGTTTTTAATTATTTACTAGCTGTGCCCTGCCACGCGTTGCTGTGGCCTATAGTAAAACTTATCAAAGTTGAGGTAGATATCTGGACTCTTATGAAAGAGAGGTACCTACCTATTCCTTCCCCCTTTTCCTCCCCCTTTCTCTCCTTTCTTCCTTCTCTACCTCTTTTTTTCTTTCACTACTTGGTTTCATCCTTCTCTCTCTTTCCTTCATTCCCTCCCCCTTTCTTCCTTTGCCTTTCCTCCCTCCCTGTTTGCTTCCTTCTTTCACTTTTTATTTCCTTTTATTTCACCACCATCATAACAATAACAATAATGCAATGCATTGCCTCTGGGACCTGACACCTCTCCCATTCCCCCTAAAAGGGTCTCATAGGAATAATAGCATCATAATAATCATAGAAATAACAACCTTTACCCGCCACGCGTTGCTGTGGCCAACCTTCCCTCTTTCTCTCCTTCTTTCCCTCCTTCCTTCCTTCCCTCCCATCTTTCCTTCTCCTCTTCCTTCTCTATCTCTTTCCTTCCTTCCCCCTTTTTCTTTCTCTTCTGGTCTCTTTTCTTCCTTCTCTCTTTCCTTCTTTCCTTCCCTCCCTCTTTCTCTACATCTTCCCCCTTCCTTCACTCCCTCTTTCCTTCCTTCATTCCCTTTTTTCTTTCCTTCTCTCCTTCCTTCCTTCCCCCTTTTTCTTTCCCTCCCTCTGTCTCTCATTTCTTCCTTCTCTACCTCTTTCCTTCCTTCCCCCTTTTTCTTTCTCTTCTACTGTCTCTCTTTTCTTTCCTTCCATCTTTCCTTTTCTTTCCTTTTCTTCTTCCTTCTTTCTCTAACTTTCCTTCCTTCCCCCTTTTCTTTATCTCACTTTCTCTTTCTTCCTTCTTTCCTTCCTTCCTGTCTTTCCTGGATTTTGACAGGGCGGGAAGGGGCGGGGTGGGGTTTGGAGGTGGCGTGAAGTAAAAGGAGGTAAGATTGGGGCAGGGGAGTGATGGAGCGTGGGGGTGTGTGTGTGCGGGGGGGGGGATGGAGCGTGGGGTGCGTGTGTGTGTGTGCGGCGCGGGGGGGAGGAGCGGGGGGTTGTGTATGTGTGTGCGGCCGGGTTGTGCGGAACGGCGCACGGGGCTGGGAATGGGCAGGGCTTGCCGCCGGGAACGTTGGCCGAGCTGGGTGCCGCGCGCCCAGGGACTGGCGGCTGGCACCACTGCGCATGCCAGGTGTTTGTGTGCCGGTTTGGGAGGGGGGGGTGGCGGGGGGAGAGATAGGTTTGGACCCTTGTGGGTTGTGTTATGGCATGGGAATTTTGGTTAAGGTCGTTGGGGGGGTTGAGAGTTTGTTGTTTTGCCGGTGGGTGAGTGGGTGTGTTGTTTTTTTCAGGGGGGTAGATATGGGTTTGTACCTTGTGGTAGTGTGACTGGGCATGGAAGTGGGTGTTAAGTTCGTGGGTTTTTTGGAGGTGGGGGTGTTTGCCCGTTGGGGGGTGGGGGGGTGCGGGGTTGCAGTTGGAGTAGAGAGTTTTGACTTGTGGGTTTGGTGGCATGGGAAGTTTGGGGAAGGGCGGGGGGGGTGTGGGGGTGGGGGTGGGCTGTTTTTGAATTCTGTTGGACTTTTGGGGCAGGGGAGAGAGAGATGTTAAAGCCATGGATGATTGAATCTATGGCAGGGGATTTTGGTTCAGTTTCTTGGGATGGGGGGGAGGGGGGGGGGGGCCGGGGGGGGAGGGGGGGGGGGTGTGTGCATGGGAGGAATAGGGGGTACCGTTTGTTGGTTTATGGGCACAGGGAATGGGGGGGGGAAGGGTGCGGTGGGTTTGGGGAGGGTGGTGTTGATTTTGGGGGGGAGGTGGGTGGGGGGGGGGGGGCAGGGGCGGAGTGTGGTTGGGACCGGGGGGGGGGGTATCGGCATGACAATGGGGGACAGTGTCGGGGGGGGGGGGGGAGGGGCGGGCGGGGGAAGGAAAAAGCAGGGAGAGAGAGAAGGAAGGGGCTGGAAGCAGGCGGAGCGAAGGGGACCCAAAGGCACACGATCGGAGTTGGACAAGGGGGGGGAGGCCGCGACGGAAAGGAGGGGACCAGAGCCACGGGGGGGAGGCCAGGGCGGGCGGGGTCCAAGACCAACCACAACAGCACACGGACAGGGACGCAAGGCGAGCAGGGGGGATAAGGACCGGACGCAGGACAGGACTGGCAAAGACAAGACGAATGCCCCCGCCCCCCACCCCACAGGAGGCGCAGCGGACAGCAGGGGAGGGAAGCAGCGAAGCCGGCCAGACGACCAAGCGGAGCCGCTGGGGGAGCGGGAAACTAGATTATATGAGTCCACATTGCCAGATAATCTGGGATAAACAAAACCTGGCATCAGATGCTGGGATACAGGGCTTGTCTGGAAGGGCCCTCAGATGGGAACATGATATTAAAGTATCTCCCCACTTATCTAATTTTCCCACTTGTTGTTCTTATGAGGTTGGAAATTTCCTCTACCTACTGAACATTTAATCTAGGCCTCACCTACATGGCTACTTAACGTAGTTTGAAATGGAATTATATGCTTCCAAACTGCATTATATGGCAGTGTAGATGGGGCTCTAGAATGCAAAATACTGAAATTTGAAAAAAAATATTACTGCTACATTTACTAGAGTCTTGCTGGAATGCTAGTTTCAAATAATTACATTGCAAAGATGGATTTGATGGACTGGGAGATATGTAGAATAAAGTCAAAGGAATTAAGGTTAATTGTTTTACTTTTCTTTTTTCAATATAGATTCTCTTGGGATACTTGTTCTTCCAGCTGTAAGTATATTTTCCTCTAAAGTGTAATACATCAATGCAAAGTGTTTTCTGAATATATGCTGTCCTTTTGTCTGCTTATGATTGATGACACTTTTATGTATGGTCTGAACTATTGTATACTACTAACAGAAAAATATATTTCTTGGGTCAAGAGACCTGTGAACTGAAATAAAAATGTCTACATATACAGTTTAAAAGGCTTAGGAACAACTTTGTTTGAAATTTAAAGGAAGCTGAAAGGATGATTTAAAAGAGTGTTTGCAGCATATGTGAAAATAATTGAGATCAACAGAAGTACTGAAATAATATGGCTTCTATGATTTTATGTTCTCCTTCTTTGGAAGCTTTTAAACAGAGGCTGGATGGCCATCTGTCAGGGGTGCTTTGAATGCAATATTCCTATTTCTAGGCAGGGGGTTGGACTGGATGGCCCATGAGGTCTCTTCCAACTCTATGATTCTATGATTGTGATCACAAAGTGGTATGTAAGAGTGTATAATAATAATAAATATCATTTGTTTTATTGTTGTATAGAGCTGTCCCTCCACATTTGCAGTTTTGACTTTTCAGATTTGCCCAAAGTGATAAAAAGAACAAAAACACACAGACCAATATTATCTCTTCCATAGAAAGCTTTTCTCTGTGGTAAAATAATATAGTTGCACTATTTACAATAACAAGGTTTCCATGACACAAATAAAGCTTAATCTTCACACTGGAGTTTCACATACGAAGCCTTCTCATACTGAGGCTTACCTCACAGACTAAGGCCTATCTCACACTGTGAGGCCTTCTCACAGACTGAGACCTTTCTCCCGCTGAGGCTAACTTATATAGAACTGCAGCTTTTGCTGAGTCATTGCATTCATTTAACCCTTTCAGTGCTTGACTCACATTTTTGTAATTAACAATGCCTACTTAATTTTTATATTTCTGACAGATGATGACCATAGAATCGTGCTGGAAGATCCAGAAATTACTAAAGAGGTGTTCTCTCAAGTAAAAAAAGATAGCAATTTCTTTATTCACATTTTTTCACTTCAATGATTGTCATGTGCCCTTAATCCCAGTGACAGGATGACTGACTGTAATTCTAGTCCCATTTAGAAATAACAGTAAGAATTCTGAGCATTGTGTTTTTTCCTCCCCAGCTTCCCTTAGAAAGTTCTCCTGGTAGTTACAACTTACTCGTCAAAGGGTATTCAGGAAGCCTGCTCCTGTTTTCCAATCGTACTACCCTTTCATTTGAACACAAGAGCTTCTCCGTCTTCCTACAGACAGATAAATCTGTGTACAAACCAGGGCAAGATGTGAAAATACGGATTGTTACTCTGCATCCTGACCTTAAGCCCTTCAACACTCCTGTAAATATATACATTCGAGTAAGTATGACATAGAAATTGGTGAAGTAGGGACCTCCTTCAGAGTATAGAGATGCCCTTTGTGGTGTTTTGCACTCCAGGAAAGAAAAGGTTTATTTTAAAATACAACCTAAATTAGGGTTGGGGAAAGTACAGCTTGTCAGCCACATGTGGCCCTCTGAAGATCACTTTTGTAGTCTCTGAAGCCCCAATATCCTTGGAAATTCATTGCTGGTTGAACCAGGAATTGGAAGTGTCAGTTCTGGTTCATTGCAAAATGGTTCAACATGGGAGTGAAAATTGGCCCCAGCCCTTATGCAGTTGCACACTTGTCTTCCAAATAAATAAGTCAAAGCCATGCTTGGTGTAGACTGTTGTATATAGGTCCAACTTTTCAGTTAATTTGTTGTACTTAGAGTGCTTCCAAATGGGTAATTCCTAGTGCTAAATGACTTGCTTCCAAAAGGAAACTGCATTTGGACCTGCTACATGGATTTTAATACACAGTTGTGAATTGTTTACTTTGTTAATAAAATTGACAAATCCATGCTTAAGTGATGAATGTTATCAGTAATTTGAAAGCATCTGTTTCAAGAAGCAAAGTGGGCAACTCCATTGATGATGATGTTTTGATATGGATTTCCCTTCTGAAGCAATAATTATTTTCTTGTAGTAGATACAACAAGAAGTAGATACAATATTGTAGTAGATACAATATTTCAAAAAAAGTATTTCTATATATACCTGGATTTGTTACTGTAATTTTATTATACATGTAGTTTAACAATTAATATTGAGACTCACTTATTTATGTGTTAGGATCCTCGACGCAATTTGATTCAGCAGTGGCTGACACAGAATGGGAAGCTGGGCAAGATAGCCAAGCAATTCAAACTATCTAAACATCCTATGTTGGGTGACTGGAGTCTACATGTTGAAGTAAATGTGAGTATTAACAATCTAGTGATTCAGTAGACATATAATATAATATTAGTGAAACTAGTGATAAAGCAGCAGTTAGATTTTAATGGGACTGTGTTGCATTTTAAAGAGATGATATCTTACAAAGAATGGCCACAACGTAATGGGAAAGAAAATGTGTTTTGTGGTACGGTGAAGTGATGGCCTACTTTGGAGCCCCCACAGGATTTTTGTGGGTTTTCAGGTGGCTGTTTTTGGGGTAAAATGTGATTGGCCAGGATCAGATGTAGATCTGATTGAAGAGGCTAAGATGCTTCCTTTGGCATGGATTATGCATTTGAGCTCAACTTTCTTCCCATCCATTCTCACTTTAGGTAGTACATTGATTTATAATATTGTTTTGAAGCTGGGTTTTGTGTGGGCATTTCTATCTGGCAGTGTATCCTGTTTGGGGGGCAGACAGGGCCTGTAGAGTGCATGAGGTTGTAACAGTTTTTAACACAGTTCAGATATTTGAACCGGGGGGGGGGGGGGGGGAGAAAAGAACAATCACACAGAGTGACAGAGAGCAAACTGGGACATCAATAATTGTTGAGTGTGAGCAAGTTAAGGAGCAAACAAGAATGGAGCATCCAAGAATAACTTTGCATAAATTTTACGGCTTGGCAATTTGGCAGGCTCATGCATTCCCTGTTATAATCTGGTGGATTGTTTATGTTTAATTGGCTGTTGTCTTTGAACACAAGAGAAGTCATTAGGAAAAAAAATCACATACTATTTATATAATGGGTGAACATATAAGTCCTTACGTTGTGTAAGAATGATCTCTTGGTGCTGCTGTAAGACCCGTCGCAAACTAGGCTCCTGTGGGAGCAAACCTTGCCAGCACGTCCCTGACGTCATGAGACTCCGCCTCTCGCCCCGCCCCTTTCTCAGCCTCTTTCTCCGTGCCAGAGTGGTTTTTCCTTTGCTAGGGCAGCATTGCCAGCATATTCTCTCAGTTGAATTCTGCCAACTGAGAGAGTACGCTGGCAATGCTGCCCTAGCAAAGGAAAAACCACTCTGGCACGGAGAAAGAGGCTGAGAAAGGGGCGGGGCGAGAGGCGCAGCCTCATGACGTCAGGGACGTGCTGGCAAGGTTTGCTCCCACAGGAGCCTAGTTTGCGGCGGCTCTAATAGTTTAACTTTGGATTCCTACTCTTCCTCCTTCCCTTACTTCCTCCCTATATCTTAACATTATTTGTTCAGCTGTTTATTTTTCATAGCTTTAGTGGGCTGACATGAGACCAGGCCCAATTCTAGGTGAGATGGAACCTGTGTTCCTCCATTTATTTTTTCTTTATGAGGATACAGATAAGGAACCATTGGGTTTTGACCAACAGAGCCAGGCTCAGCTTGGGAGCTATATCACATGCCTCACTTCCAGATGGCATAGAAAGCACATGGTGGATCCATCCATATGGCTTCTACAGTGCCACCCCAGGATTGATCCTCAGCATAATGAAGGTGTTTGCAGCTTCCAGAATCCATAATGTTATGGGGAGCCAGGTTTAATGAATAAAGATGTGACCTTGTTTTCTCTAATTGTATTCTGGTCATGTTTTTGCCTCCTTGCCTTTCAAGATGTGTGTACTACTATTTATTACTGCATATATTCATGTATAAGTTAAGAGAATATTTTTGGGCTACAATGATGGATTTTGATATGACCCACGGATAAGTTGAGGGTCATTCTATGCGGTGGGAAAACACCAGTGTCACCTCAGATGGCCAGCTGACCCTGGCTGCCACCACCATTTGATTTATTTACTATATGTATATCCCACTCTCTCACACCCCAAGGGGGCCCCAGAGTGGCTTACAACATGGCAATATTCAATGCACAATATACAATCAAATATTCAATATACAATCAAATTAAAAACAATACATCATATATACAGTTACAAATAAAAACATATAAACACAGTAAAACTGTTAAAACCATAAAACCAAATCCAGGAGTCATAATTTGTGTTGATACAGATATGCTAATTCTATATTACACCACGTAATGCCAATCCAAATGCTTCATCCCATAAACAGGTTTTCACTTTTTCTGAAAACCAGAAGGGAGTGGGCCAGTCTGATATCACTAGGGAGGGAGTTCCATAGCCAAGGGGCCACCACTGAGAAGGTCTTGTCTCTCGTCCCCACCAGTTGTGCTTGCGATGGGGATGGGACCGAGAGCAGGGCCTCCCCCGCAGATCTTAACTCTCTAACCAGTTCATAGAGAGATATACGTTCCATCAGGTAAGTTGAACTGGAGCCGTTTTCCCACATAGGCATTCAAAAAAACAGAAGTGGCACCATGGCAGAGAGCATAGAGGAGGTCCGTGCTTCTTTTAGATTATCTTGGGATGGACTAAAGCTCTTGCTTTTCCCCATTTTACTCAGAGAAGGATATTACTGTATTTTCTCTCTCTGGATAATAGTTAACCTACAGTACTTACATTCATTTCTGGCTAAATTGACCCAGGACTTTTGGATTGGTTATTTGATTAAATGTTCTTGACATACATGAATATATAGGGTAAATATGCAGTTACATATTTACATCCACCAGCAGAGTTTATATATTGGAGACACTATCTGGATCTGGGGGAGTAACTATTGTTGGCAACAGTGCTTGTTTCACATATTCAGCCCTGTTATTTCATGGGACCACAAGCTTCTGATACGACTTGATTCTCATTGGTGCTAAAGAATGGCTTTTCATATCACTTGCATGTGGCAGTGATGGCCTCAGGATTAGGATGCTTTAGCAGATGGCCTGACCTGGAGCTCATTCGCACAACAGAATTATAGTGTTGTTATTCCACTTTAACTGCCATTGTACCATCCTATGGAATCCTGGGATTTGTAGTTTGGTGAGTGAATAGAAAGCTCTGGATGAAATTTTGATGCACCGGAAGCTTTCTCCAAGGGACCAGAAGATGCAGCCTGAAGGACCTCAACCTGGGATGTCATGTTGCCACCGCCCTAGCAAAATCTTAGCATTTGGGGATGATGTGGGGCTTCAATCCTGACAGAAACTGGGATATATAATTCCAGTTCCTCTCAGGACCTTTGGCACTACTGAAAGATGTCCACACATCCTTTGTTTCCTTAAAAGGCAAAGGAAGAAACTATTTCTCAAAGTGATCTATTCCACTGTTAAATAGCTCTCATAGTTAAAAAAAAGTGATTACTACTATTTTGGTGAAATTATATTTCATGTAATATATATCCATTGGTTCATCTCTGGATCAGCAGAAAATAATTTTGCTCCATTTTCAACATCATTTCCTTTCAGATATTTAAAGATAGATATGAACCCTGGTTAGTATTTGTATGGAAGACCACCAACTAATACCTGTATGCTGTAGGCTATATTTCAGAGGAAGAAATTGGCAAACCATCTCTGAGTATTTCTTGATAACATTCATCAGCTTGTCAATATCCTTCTTGAGCTGTTGGAGAAAGCCAAATGTTTCATTCTTTATTACTTAGCAAAATAGCTGTGCTCAAATACATCATGCTCATGTAAACAAGCCTATAAGCAGGTTAATTTAGCTCTCAAGGGGCCCTTCCACACAGTCCTATATTCCAGAATATCAAGGCAGAAAATCCCACAATATCTGCTTTGAACTGGATTATCTGAGTCCACACTCAGATAATGTGGGATTCTCTTCCTTGATATTCTGGAATATATGGCTGTGTGGAAGGGTCCATATTCTAAAAGCAAAGGATTAAAGCACTGTCCTGTCATGCCTATGGGATGCTTTGGCATTCTTTTAAAATGTCCATTTGATGCCTATGGGAAGCCAACAAGCAGGATAGGATTCCAATAGAATTGCTGATTTGTGTTTACCAGCAACTGTTGTTGAGAGGCATACTTCCCATGAAGATTGGCATTGCAAAAGGCTTCTGTACATGAATCCATAAGTTACATTTAGTGCAAAATGTAACTTATCCATAAGTTACATTTAGCGCAAAAAACATACATTTTTCCGGAAAGCCCAAGTATTTTCTGTAGCTTTTTAGCATTAGTTACAACACCTTTAGTTTAGTTTATTTAGTGCTTTTCTTCCATGAGTGATGTATTCTCTTGAATGTCATTCGCTTACATCATCTTTTCGTGCCAGAAACAATACAATGGATTGAATAAAGACAATTTAAGCTTAGCAACTGTGGGTTTTTGTTTTGTTTTTTGCCTGTTTTCAAGAGTGTGTTTTCAGAAGCTGGACGCCAGAATGGAAGTTATTCTCAGTCTGAGCTCTGTTAGAAAAAACCCAGACACTGTCTGAGTCTTTGTGGAGTCAGCGCTTCTTTTTTCTCCACTAGACAAGTTGTATAACAAAACAATATTTTTGAGTCTTATGAATGTGATCAACTTTGGACATGTATTTAATATTGGGGAAAATATGTAGGGAAAAGAGTAGTGTATTAGCAAGGGAACCCTTATTCTGCTGATTCCCCCTTCTTTTTTGTGGCTCCTTGTGCACACATCTAATGAGAGTGTCGACAAAATGCCGCACCTCTATTTTAAAAATATATATTTAATTGAAAAGGGCCCATTGTGCTCTCTAAGAAGCAATAAGCAATTTTGACATGTTTCCACAAGCTGTTTTTGGCCAGGGTGTTTCTTACCCCCAGACTAGAAGTTTACTGTTTACTTCTGGTTTTGAAAAAAGGCCTCTTAGACCTAAAATAGCTCAGCCATTCCAAAATGGTAAAACTGTTCGGCATGGCCACAGGGGGCATTTTTTGTTTGTTGTTTGTTGTTTATTTGTTCAGTCACTTCTGACTCTTTGTAACTTCATGGACCAGCCCACGCCAGAGCTCCTTGTCAGTCGTCACCACCCCCAGCTCCTTCAGAGTCAAGTCAGTCACTTCAAGGATACCATCCATCCATCCATCCATCTTGCCCTTGGACTGTCCCTCTTCCTTTTTCCTTCCATTTCCCCCAGCATCATTGTCTTCTCTAATCTTTCCTGTCTTCTCATGATGTGACCAAAGTACTTCAACTTTCCCTCTAATATCCTTCCCTCCAACAAGCAGACAGGCTTTATTTCCTGAAGTAGGATGGTTGGATCTTCTCATGGTCCAAGACGCTCTCAGAATTTTCCTCCAACACCACAGTTTTTGGTTAAAGGCATTTTGTAGTTAAAGGGAATTTCAGAAAAGTAGAAGTAGATGGTAGGAAGAGGCACATCCCCTTGAGATTTTTGGGGTGCATGTGTACTTATAAGATTTCAGAAAGTCCACCAACCCTGAACTAACCTCAATTGACTATTTCTAAAGATTGGAAGTAATTAGTTGCAAGCAACACATTTATCTATAGACCTAATTACTTTGCAGGGGAGGGGTTAATGAGGATATCACAAAGTTACATTTCAAAAGTGAGGCAATGGATAAGAGCAGAGATAATTGATTTGTGTAATTCTTTATAGATACACATCATATAATATTGGGGGCATTTTGTCAGAAATAATTTTATGCCTTAGATAAAAATAAATAACACAATTTACGCCTGTGTTTCATGCATTTTGTTTGTTTTTATTTCCTTAGGACCAAGTACACCATCAGACATTTACTGTCATGGAATATGGTAAGTGATACCTGCATGCATATTTTGTCAAATATAGGCAGGTGAAAATGGGGTATGTGGGTTGTATTATAATATCCTGCATCCCCATTTTTCAGTTAACATGCTCTCATTCTGCCACCTGATTACTTACATCTCAATTCAATCAATACATTTATTAATGCTCCAATCAATGGCCATATGCATTTACACAAACAGAAACAACATCTAACAAGCACCTATATAAAACACTGTAAAATCCAACAGTTAAAAGCAGGATGCAAACAGGATCTCAATTAGTCATTTCAGATTATTATTCTTGTGCTCATCAGCCTTGTGGCTGAGTTCTTCACATGTATCTTGTAAAGCTTGGCCCTGGTTTTGAAAAATTAATCAGGCAATTTATTTCTATACTGCATTTTCTCACAGTATATTACGTACAGAGCATTTCACACAAACAAATATGCTTTCTGGAGTGGGTGTCCTGATTTTCTGCTGGGACTAGTCTGGCAGAACATCTGGGGACACTCCCCCTCCCCCAAAGCTCCCAAACCCCTTTGAAAAGTAAAGAAAACTTACCCGGCCTCCAGTACACTGTTGAAGCTGCTCTCCCAGTGTGTAGAAATGACATGCCAGGAGAGCAGGGGGTGGGAGGGAGGAGGAAAGGCACGGAATATCTAATTCATTCACTACAAACCAGGGTTTTCCTGGTTTGTAGCGAATTAATTCTGGATTGTCCAGGATGTCATCTGGACAGTCCCTTCTTTATTGCGGAAGTTACCACAATGGATTTATTTATTTTTTATTTTTTTATTTTTATTTTTATTTTATTTATTTATTTTTATTTTATTTATATTTTATTTTTATTTGCCCCATGAGGCACTTTGAAGTAGCCCACTGTTAAGATGTAGAAGGCAAGCAATATATGGTAAACAACAGAAGCTTGGCAATAGAAAGAAAACTACTTAGTAGATCTCATGTTCTGAGCCAGGAAAAGGTCTCTTCAAATGAAAGGTACCTCATTCTCTTGGCTGTCTTTGGCCCCCTCCACACAGCTGAATAAAATCCCACATTATTTGCTTTGAACTGGAATGTATAACAGTGTGGATGCAGATAACCCAGGTCAAAGCAGATATTCTGGGTTATTCTTCCTTGATATTCTGGATTATATGGTTGTGTGGAAGTACCCTTTGTTTATTGAACATGGCTACTTAGCAACAACAGTTCATTTCAACACTCTCAGTGGCATATTTATTAAAAGATTCATATCCCTATCAAAAAGTTTCCATTTCTAGAATTCTTTGTGAAAATGAAAATGGTATAAACCAGAATTCATATATGAAGGTAGTACAGACCAGGCCATAACATACATTGGTACTGAACCATTATGTATATGACCACCTTTGTGTAATTTTAATTATCAGTATACTATTTCTTTTTTGCAGTGTTACCAAAGTTTGAGGTCTTTCTAACAACGCCACTATATTACTCCCCAAAAGCTATGAATTTCAATGGTACTGTCACAGCAAAGTAGGTAAAAATAAATGTTATGTCATTTGAGATTATATGTACTTGTAATATGCATGTAGACCTATAGCAACTATCAAGTTTTGTCCATTTTCTTTTGGTGGAGGGAATACTATAGAGATATGTTGAAAAAAACACACATTATTTTGAGATAGTTGGCAAAAAAATAAAGGTGAGAGTTTAGTTTACCATTCTGAAGATTTTTGGAAAATGACATTCATAACCTTTTGGAAAATGCCTTTTAGAGAAGAACCAAAAACCCTTCAGAGTATAATCTTCTCTTGTGGTATACAAGCAGATATAATTATGCTAGGCAATGGTTTCAGTTGTTAAACTGAATAACCTGTTATCTCTGATCTGTTAGGAAAACAGATTTTGCCAGTGCATAAAAAACAGCAGTGCTTCTGAAGCATTTTTTGGGTGCTCCAAAATATATATACTCTCCCATAAAACAACTTGTTTTATATCATGCACTCAAAAGACAAAAATGAAATAGATTTTGATAAAAATAACATATTTGGTTTACTCATAACCTTCATATGTTCAGCATACATAGGAACAAAACGTATCGGTCCAGTTACAGATGGACTGAATGGTCCTGTGTAGACCAGAATATATCAAGGGGCACTGCTGGTAAAAAAGTGTTTGCTACCACTAGTCGTCTTTGTAAGAAAAAGAATTCACCCGTGCTGGATATTCATTTCAGTGAACCTGCATGGTTTGAATTAGCTTCTACATTCTCTTCCTCAAAGAGAATGGTCCTTTCTGTTTTCCAGAGATAAAATGTATTGTCAGTATGTTCAAATGTAATATTGCTTTCAAAAACTGAAAGTGGATTTTTGTGGCCATTTCAGGTACACGTATGGAAAGCCAGTGAAAGGGAAACTGACTGTTACTTGCTTCTCAGTGTTCTATGGAAAGAAGAGAAATATCACTAAAATGCTGGAGGTAGGTGAGCGATGACCAGTGTATCATAGTCAAATCAATAGAGAAACTGAGTAGGAAGAGGCAGTATTTCCCCACACTCTTTTTTTGTTGCTCTGCTTCTTTCTTTCCCTTTGTCAATTATTTTTCTTCAAGCCCATTCACAATAAACTTTTGCCAAAAAAATATGGTTATACTTCCTCCTGGGTTAATATGGGCCTGGTGTAATGACAGCCAGTTATCTACCACCTTATCCTTGCTGTCAAGAGGGATGTAGACAGAAGTCATGATTATGTGTGCTTGTCATGAGCAGATCTTAGAGTTCAGTGATTCTTAGAGCATGTCTGCATTGATTACAAACTCTGAATCGGGCCCAGCCTACTCGAGGGATCGCATCTCCTCCTGTCAGGGATGGGTTGGTTCTCATCTTGAATTGGTCCTGCTGTAGTACAGTATTACACACAGGCTAGTGCTTCTGCACAAGAAAAAGAGGATGTTGCTTATCTTTTGCTTCCTTTGTTGCAGCAGGGGTGATCATGGAACTCTAGAGAGCTTCTGGCCATTGCTAGGCACCTTTATTGACCCCATCAAAGGTGTCCGTTAGGACTTGTTTGTTTATTTATTTATTTATTTACTTACTTACTGCATTTATATACTTCTTTTCTCACTCCTGGGTGGAGTAATGGCTCAAGTAATGGCAAGATTCAATGCCAACATAGATACAAAACCAAAGCATAATAACTTGGAGACAGAAAGGGGAGTTTCTCCCTTCTTTCTGCAAGTCATATGGGTATTTTTGCTGACAAAGATTCACGGTGACAACCAGAAGCTCTTTGGAGCTCCATGGCCATGATGACAAGGGATGCAAAAGGTAAGGGTGATCATCCAATAAGGCAGAACTGGGGTTGGCCTCAACTGGACAATCAGAACTCTATTTCCACCACTACAATTTAGGAGCAGAGATGTGTGAACACCCCAGCAGAATTTGGAGTCTGTCTAAGGCAGCAATGCCTAGATTTAGGTGTTCGTGTAGATGGGTCCTTAACTTCTGATTCTCCAGGTGTTTTGGACTTCAACTCTTTGAATTTGACTGAAGCTTCTTGGAGTTGAACCATCTGGAGTACAGAAGAAATGCTGTCCTACTTGCTTAGGCTAGTGTGCAGGCTTCATGTGGAAGTATTTATGAGTTTGGGAAGCTCTCCTTGGTCTGTTATTGTGTAAGCAGTCTCCTGTGATTAGTGTGATTAACATCCCTGCAGTTTCTTCTGTTGACTGGGATTTAACCTGAATAGCAATGTGACATCTGATATCAACAATATTTGCTGAGGGCTGAAATTTTGACAGAATGCTCCTGACACCACATTAGTGAAATGTAATGACAAAAACAAATGCACCCTGTGCTGATCATTAATTAATGAACAGTATTTGTACCCTACCCCATATCAGCTTACAATAAAATCATTGGGAAGAATTTAAAATGTAAGCGTAATTTCTGACTGATTTTTTCAAAAAAACATTTTAAAAGAGAAATGCCAACTGATAAACCTTTTCTTGATTTCAGTTTAGTGGATCTGTGAACTTTACACTTGACAGTCTGGAGATGAAGAACATAACATATGCAGATTGGGATCCCCATGCTTTCCACCAGATGCCCATAGAGATCACAGCTGTGGTTACAGAAACACTTACAGGTTATGTTGCTTCATTTTTGCTTTCCTTTGAGGAAAAAGGCAGGTAGCATTGGGAAATTGAGAACTGGTTCCATGGAAAGTAAAGCATTTTTATGCGAGTTAGGCTCTGTGGATCATTATATTGACCATTTCTCCTGATAGGAATATTTAAAAATTGTTCTTTTTGCGCATAGTTATTATTGTTTATCTATAAAATCAGTTCACAACAATGTTCACAAACATAAATAATTCTTTGTGTTAAATGGTGAACATCTGGAATACCTGAGGAAACAGTTTAGTATGATGAGTGAGTACATATTTAGTGTTATCGGTTTCAAAATTAGCAACAATTAGCAACAACTTTAAAGAGTTGACAGCTGGAATTTTGACAATTATGAATTGTTCAAGAATTATTGGAAATGAATGACTATGAACTTTACAAAAATACTTTTAAATATTCTAACAGGAATCAGCCAAAATGCAAGTGCTACTGCATTTCCAAAGCATCATGATTACTCCTTAGAGTTTGTTGAGTTTCCAAGAGTTCTCAAGCCTTCTCTAACTTTCATTGCTATGGTGAGTTATTTCCCCCTCTCCAGTATTTTCTGTTAGTCATGGAAGTCCTGTATGCCAAGTTTGGTTCAATTCTATTGTTGGTGGAGCTCAGAATGTCCTTTGGTGCTTGGTAAACTGCAATTCCCAAATGTCAGGGTCTATTTTTCCCAACCCCCTCTCCAGTATTTTCTGTTAGTCATGGAAGTCCTGTATGCCAAGTTTGGTTCAATTCTATTGTTGGTGGAGCTCAGAATGTTCTTTGGTGCTTGGTAAACTGCAATTCCCAAATGTCAGGGTCTATTTTTCCCAACCCCCTCTCCAGTATTTTCTGTTAGTCATGGAAGTCCTGTATGCCAAGTTTGGTTCAATTCTATTGTTGGTGGAGCTCAGAATGTCCTTTGGTGCTTGGTAAACTGCAATTCCCAAATGTCAGGGTCTATTTTTTCCCAACCCCCTCTCCAGTATTTTCTGTTAGTCATGGAAGTCCTGTATGCCAAGTTTGGTTCAATTCTATTGTTGGTGGAGCTCAGAATGTCCTTTGGTGCTTGGTAAACTGCAATTCCCAAATGTCAGGGTCTATTTTTCCCAACCCCCTCTCCAGTATTTTCTGTTAGTCATGGAAGTCCTGTATGCCAAGTTTGGTTCAGTTCTATTGTTGGTGGAGCTCAGAATGTTCTTTGGTGCTTGGTAAACTGCAATTCCCAAATGTCAGGGTCTATTTTTCCCAACCCCCTCTCCAGTATTTTCTGTTAGTCATGGAAGTCCTGTATGCCAAGTTTGGTTCAATTCTATTGTTGGTGGAGCTCAGAATGTTCTTTGGTGCTTGGTAAACTGCAATTCCCAAATGTCAGGGTCTATTTTTCCCAACCCCCTCTCCAGTATTTTCTGTTAGTCATGGAAGTCCTGTATGCCAAGTTTGGTTCAGTTCTATTGTTGGTGGAGCTCAGAATGTCCTTTGGTGCTTGGTAAACTGCAATTCCCAAATGTCAGGGTCTATTTTTCCCAACCCCCTCTCCAGTATTTTCTGTTAGTCATGGAAGTCCTGTATGCCAAGTTTGGTTCAGTTCTATTGTTGGTGGAACTCAGAATGTCCTTTGGTGCTTGGTAAACTGCAATTCCCAAATGTCAGGGTCTATTTTTCCCAACCCCCTCTCCAGTATTTTCTGTTAGTCATGGAAGTCCTGTATGCCAAGTTTGGTTCAATTCTATTGTTGGTGGAGCTCAGAATGTTCCTTTGGTGCTTGGTAAACTGCAATTCCCAAATGTCAGGGTCTATTTTTCCCAACCCCCTCTCCAGTATTTTCTGTTAGTCATGGAAGTCCTTTATGCCAAGTTTGGTTCAATTCTATTGTTGGTGGAGCTCAGAATGTTCTTTGGTGCTTGGTAAACTGCAATTCCCAAATGTCAGGGTCTATTTTTCCCAACCCCCTCTCCAGTATTTTCTGTTAGTCATTGAAGTCCTGTATGCCAAGTTTGGTTCAATTCTATTGTTGGTGGAGCTCAGAATGTTCTTTGGTGCTTGGTAAACTGCAATTCCCAAATGTCAGGGTCTATTTTTCCCAACCCTCTCTCCAGTATTTTCTGTTAGTCATGGAAGTCCTGTATGCCAAGTTTGGTTCAATTCTATTGTTGGTGGAGCTCAGAATGTCCTTTGGTGCTTGGTAAACTGCAATTCCCAAATGTCAGGGTCTATTTTTCCCAACCCCCTCTCCAGTATTTTCTGTTAGTCATGGCAGTCCTGTATGCCAAGTTTGGTTCAATTCTATTGTTGGTGGAGCTCAGAATGTTCTTTGGTGCTTGGTAAACTGCAATTCCCAAATGTCAGGGTCTATTTTTCCCAACCCCCTCTCCAGTATTTTCTGTTAGTCATGGAAGTCCTGTATGCCAAATTTGGTTCAATTCTATTGTTGGTGGAGCTCAGAATGTCCTTTGGTGCTTGGTAAACTGCAATTCCCAAATGTCAGGGTCTATTTTTCCCAACCCCCTCTCCAGTATTTTCTGTTAGTCATGGAAGTCCTGTATGCCAAGTTTGGTTCAATTCTATTGTTGGTGGAGCTCAGAATGTCCTTTGGTGCTTGGTAAACTGCAATTCCCAAATGTCAGGGTCTATTTTTCCCAACCCCTCTCCAGTATTTTCTGTTAGTCATGGAAGTCCTGTATGCCAAGTTTGGTTCAATTCTATTGTTGGTGGAGCTCAGAATGTTCTTTGGTGCTTGGTAAACTGCAATTCCCAAATGTCAGGGTCTATTTTTCCCAACCCCCTCTCCAGTATTTTCTGTTAGTCATGGAAGTCCTGTATGCCAAGTTTGGTTCAATTCTATTGTTGGTGGAGCTCAGAATGTCCTTTGGTGCTTGGTAAACTGCAATTCCCAAATGTCAGGGTCTATTTTTCCCAACCCCCTCTCCAGTATTTTCTGTTAGTCATGGAAGTCCTGTATGCCAAGTTTGGTTCAATTCTATTGTTGGTGGAGCTCAGAATGTCCTTTGGTGCTTGGTAAACTGCAATTCCCAAATGTCAGGGTCTATTTTTCCCAACCCCCTCTCCAGTATTTTCTGTTAGTCATGGAAGTCCTGTATGCCAAGTTTGGTTCAGTTCTATTGTTGGTGGAGCTCAGAATGTTCTTTGGTGCTTGGTAAACTGCAATTCCCAAATGTCAGGGTCTATTTTTCCCAACCCCCTCTCCAGTATTTTCTGTTAGTCATGGAAGTCCTGTATGCCAAGTTTGGTTCAATTCTATTGTTGGTGGAGCTCAGAATGTCCTTTGGTGCTTGGTAAACTGCAATTCCCAAATGTCAGGGTCTATTTTTCCCAACCCCCTCTCCAGTATTTTCTGTTAGTCATGGAAGTCCTGTATGCCAAGTTTGGTTCAATTCTATTGTTGGTGGAGCTCAGAATGTTCTTTGGTGCTTGGTAAACTGCAATTCCCAAATGTCAGGGTCTATTTTTCCCAACCCCCTCTCCAGTATTTTCTGTTAGTCATGGAAGTCCTGTATGCCAAATTTGGTTCAATTCTATTGTTGGTGGAGCTCAGAATGTCCTTTGGTGCTTGGTAAACTGCAATTCCCAAATGTCAGGGTCTATTTTTCCCAACCCCCTCTCCAGTATTTTCTGTTAGTCATGGAAGTCCTGTATGCCAAGTTTGGTTCAGTTCTATTATTGGTGGAGTTCAGAATGCTCTTTGGTGCTTGGTGAAGCATTCTCACCTGATGTTTCACCCACATCTATGGCAGGCATCCTCAAGAGGCTGTGAGGTCTGTTTGTAACTAGGCAAGTGGGGTTTGTATATCTGTGGAATGTCCAGGGTGGGAAAAAGAACTCATGTCTGCTTGAGGTAAGTGTGAATGTTGCAATTGGTCATCTTGATGAGTATTTAATGGCCTTGCAGCTTCGAAGCCGAGCTAGTTGCTGCCCAGGAATCCTTTGTTGGGAGCGGTTAACTGGCCCTGATTGCTTCATGTCAGGAATTCCCCCCTTTTTTAGTGTTGCTCTTTATTTATTGTTCTGATTTTAGAGGGTACTGGTAGCCAGATTTTGTTCCTCTGAGGTTGCCTGCCATAGATGTGGGGAAAATGTCAGGAGAGAATGCTTCTGGAACATGGCCATACAGCCCAGAAAACTCACAGCAACTCAGTGATTCTGGCCATGAAAGCCTTCCACAACACATTATTATGTTTATTTATACCCTGCTTTTTCTCTCCCCAAGAAGACTCAAGTTGGCTTAGATTAAAAACATTTCAGTACAGTTTAAAATCCACAAATATGCAAACATTAAAATGGAATTAAATATCATTGGTATTTTAAAAATTCAGTTAAAATCCATAAAAAACATATCCAAAACTAAAAACTGCAGCAGACCCTGACTTGATCTTTAAAACCTTTTAAAGCCTGCATTAGATTACCAAATGTAATGTCCCTTTATACACACTGCTTTATATTAATTTCCCTTTATCTGATTTGTCATCAACACACTTAATGGACTGCAAAAATATGATCCTGTGTGATTCCTTTCCATTTCCAAGTCGCCCAGTCCTCTGTGTGCCCAGGGGGGAGTCTCTCATCTGGTATCAGCCATGGTGATCTGGGTTTGAGCCTGCCACTTTTGGACTCTCGCTTGCTGAGGTGTTCCAGCGAGTGTCTCTGTAGATCTTAGAAAACATTATAAAAACGTATTTAAGATCAACTTTGAGTCAAGAGCGCTTGAGTGGACTAGCAACCTTGGCCATTGAAAATGGCTTGTTGGATGAAATGGAAACAGATATAATAGTACACGAGTTTTCAAAATTGAAAGCCAGAAAAATCTCTTTTTAATTTTAAAAGTGTTCAGGTTTATTTGTGTTAAGGAAAACTGGATGTTAAAGTATCCACTAAAGTGAAGGGGCCAGAGGCTGACTATGTTGCCACACCCATTGTAATGGTCCAGGCTGGCATGGCACTTTTGAAGGACAAGAGTTCACTTTCTTCAAAAGGAGGTGTCTATTCTCCTGGGGCTGCGTTCTCCAAAACAAATCTGATTGACAGACCCAACAAGCATGGGATTGAGTTCTCTGTTATTAGCAAACCCCTAGTCTGAAAAATCTTCTCTGAAGAGACAGCATGACCAGGAAACCTTTGTGTAGTACTTGTAGACCAAAAATAACAACAAAAACTTAAAATTGTTGCTAAGTTTAGTAAAATATTTGCATTCTTAAAAAAGTTAATTTGTGTAATGTAACTATATAAACATAATGTTGTAAGTAAATTTCTGGTTTGTAAGGTAACTCTTTTATTCACCTCTACCTTCTACGTTTTATTTTTCAGTGATTGGTTGGGGGGAGGGGGCGCCAAAATAATGTTTGCTTACCATTGAAAATTACCTAGGGCCGGCCCTGGATGTAAAAATGCGTAAAGCTGGCATTTCAGTTTCAGAATCAAAACATAAGCATTACTGTTGTTTTAAAAAAGAGTTTTCACTGTAGTTTGGAAAGTTTGAGTTGATTCATCACCATGTCTTTGAATGATTTTCAGCTGAAAATAACAAGATTTGACAACAAGCCACTTACACACGATGAAAGGATGAATAATGTAATGGTCTCTTTTGAACCTTCCAAAAATGTTGGCTTTTTCCAAAGAATTTACTACATGTACGATGACGATGACAATGAATCACAGACAAATGAAACAGCGCAGAACCTGAGTTATCCTGTTCCAGAAGACGGAATTATTCAAATTGAATTTCCAATTCAGGAAAATACAACAAGATTGAATATTAAGGTATATTTTTCTGGTTGTTTTGTTTCAAACCACACCGCTATCTACCCTGCTGCTATATATACTGTAGTATGTCTGAAGGACAACATATTGGAGACACTTGCCTTAAGTGGCAGATAAAAAGAATCTTAGTATGGAAACTTTCTTATTGTTTTC